ATTCCCAAAAAAGTTTTAAAAAATCTCAAAAATGGGATTTTTTGGTTTTTTGCCTATTATATCCATACCAGGGGCGGGGTTATCGAAACCCGTTACAAAATGATTAAGAACATATTGGGTCATATAAAACAGGTCACTATAATTTGATATCGACTATGCGATTTGAGAATTTTTGCTCAAAATTGAATTTTCCATAAAAAATAGGGTTTTTTTGGATGGACCTGGTCCCCTCGGTATCAAAAATTTTTGGGTTTTGTTTCATTTATCGTACTTTATGTAAAGTCAGCTTTCCAAAAAGTATAAATTCTATATACATCTTCTTAGAAACTTTTTAGATAACTTAAAAAGAAAAAGATACTTTTTTCCCAAAAAATGACAAAAAATCGCTTTTTTTTAATTTTTTAAATTAAAATGCCTATAACTTTGGACTCAGTCATGATTTTTACATAATTCTTTCACTGCTTGATATATAAACTTGTTGTTAAGCGAATAAAAAAAATGGCGAAAATCGGGAATATTTGGACCCGCTATTATCAAAAAAACTAAAGTAAGGACGGTAAAAATTTTAAAATTTTAATTTTCAAATGCGAATATCTCCTAAACTATAAGAGATAATTTACTGCTACTTCTATATACGAAATTTTTTTTAAATCGGAACTCAAATGAAGAAATAGGATCGTTTTAAAAATTTAACATAGCCGGGGTGTCCTAATTTGAGGACCCCCCGCCGGGCCCCTGGTTGGCCTATAAGGTCCAAATTCAAAACCTAAACTCGACAACACCTCCTCTTTGTGCATACCAAATTTCATCAAAATCGGATTAACCGTTTAGAAGTTACCGAATTATTTCCCTCTTTTTTTTTTCCTATACCACTGTGCGTGGGCAGAATTAAAAATATGGGTGAGAATTTTCCAAAATATTATAAAATGGTAAATATTTTTGAACTAACGCAAAAATTTATGATACGCCTTTAAAATCAAAGCTTTCAGCTCTTCATGAGGTTGTCCAAGTTATAGAAAGATTACTCTAAATTAAACAATATGTCTTCTTAGACATTGAAGGAAGGTGTCTTCAATAATATAACTACTTTTGCAACTCAACATGCCCTCAATAACTTGGATGTCGAAGAACATTTTAGCAACTGGTTAGTAACAATGTTGAAATCTCATATTGTTACGGCAAGTCTTGAGGCCTAATAAACTATAATGTGCATAAGCTTACTTAAGGTAATGTCAAAATCGAACGAAAAGTCTCTCAAATGCTTAAGAAAATCCGAGGAAACTTTTAGGTGGCTATAATGTACTTACGTGCATTCAAGACAATTTAGCTCTATTTGCACATTTATGTGACACACGTAATAAAAAAAATACATATTTCAAAATATTTTATTGAAATAAATTCATTTTCTTGTAGATTTCCATTTTTTTCTTTATATTCTTTGTGTATAATAAACAAACAATTGATTCCGTACGTAATGTGCTGTCAGTATCGCTCTTTGCTTAAGCAAATAAAGAACGTATGTATGGTGGACTTCAACTAAAAATAAATTTATTGTTGAACATCTTTACAAAGTTCAGAAATATACATGAATTTGAATAACAGGTGCTCCAAGAACTAGTCCTTCAGAATTTCTGGAAACTATATTGCACTTTATACCTGTAATCTTAGTAAAATATCTAACTCTGCCTGAGTAGAGTAAAAACACTATGGTGTACTTTAATATTCGAAATAAATAAAGCCGATTGTATATATTAGAGCAAGTTGAAATCGTAGTCTGACTTCAATGAAATTTGGTGTAAATATTTTCCTAAAATTGTAGATTATGCCCACATTTTTTTCAAATTATATTCATAACTATGACCGTTGACCCCATTGGAAATTCCGGATAGACGAAAGAAAAATATCAACATAATTTGCATCGGAGGTAATAATATTAAGATTTGAAAATATCATTGCAATGAAAAAATAATGCACTAGTATAGCTATAAAACAACTAATTTCATGCGTAAATAGTCATCAACTAAAATGTAGGGAATTTAATTCTTTATAGAAATTTTAATAGCATCAAAACGCGTGCGACGTATAATAAGTGAGATAATCGTAAAAAAAATATTTTTGTAACCTTTGACCGCTTAGCGGACACGTTATTTATGATGACTTTTAATACCTTATTAATAAATGAATTCCGCAGCAAAACCAGTTTAAAGATTGATATGCACAAAGTGCGTTGATAGAAGTATCAAACCAAAGTAAGTAAATAGGAGATGGCAAACAGTGCCGTTAGCGGTTTACTCGTTAGAATAAATGTAATGTTTAATCATCGTTGCATAATAGAGGAGTAAACATAAATTCTATAAGTATTATTAATTCACTAAAGAAACAAATTATTCAATAGGGAATAGGGATGCCAAATGGGACTGGCTTTTACAAATCCCGGGTTTCGAGATTTTACGGGATTACATAAATTTCATTATTTTATATATGCAAATCTTAAAATCTTCATGTTTTTAAAGAAAATTGTTTAATTTTGTGGAAATTAAGCAGACAGAAGACATACATACATTTACATTTAAATTAAAACAATCCAATTATTTCCAATTCTTAAATAAAAACTTTTAGGGCCACAATCTCATTCTCCGGTTATCGTTTAACCGGTAGATATTCTGCCGGTTAAAATAATTTTTGTATGAAAACTGTCAGTATATCGTTTCGATAAAAAATAACAAGACATTGAGAAAATGGGGGTTAGAATTTTATAATTTCTGAAATTTTTTTACCACATACTTCCTAAATAAAAATAAATATCATGTTTCGAAAATAGACGTAAATAATTTTTTAAACCAATGTGAGCAAATAATTATAACTGAGCCCATTTCAATCCTTCGAATATCAATTTAGATCATAAATGAATCTTTTCTTTGAAAATATTTGGAATTTTGTCGACACAAAACACATACTTATTAGCATATAGTAGCATATAGGCGAAAGGGATTGTCAAAGACCTAAGTCCCCTGTCAAAAACCTAACTGGTAAGAATGTATTAGTAGAAGCACAAAAATAAACATAGTTGTTCAAAAGGTACTAACTAATAAATGTATTTTTGATACGTTATTTTTTGTATCTTATTACTCGGATTTCATATACTAGTGAATGCAAATATTAGTTAATTAATTATTTTCAGAAGATATTTCATTTTAAAACATACACGTCTTTTTGTTATTTTTTTTTTTTTTTGCACCAATGGAAAAAGAAAAAAAGTATGTGATACACTTTTTTCATTTTCAATACGAAAATTTACAACTTTTCTTTTTTCAGTTTTAATTAAAATGAAATGTCAAAAAATAAAAAATATTTTTTTTTCGTTTGTAAAATATAAATTATTTTCGGGCTTTTATATACATTAAAAGTGTGGCAAAAAATAATAAATATTAAGTTTAAGTGATAAGAAAATCGCTTAAGTGCTAATATCCTCGCAATTTCGCGAAGAAAATTTGAAGTTTTGTGAGTGCGTTTAGTTCTCTCAAGTGTGTTTTAATCTCTCAAAACTCGTCTGTGTGAAGAGAATAACAAATTTTGTTTGACAACCCCTTCAGTTTAGCCTATATCTCTACTATATGATTATTAGTTTTGGAATACAACATATTCGTAGTATCTACCAAAGAATAAATAAGAAATGAAACTGTTGTCAAAAGTACCTAAGTCTACTGTCATCCGGTACCTAACTCTAAGAATGTATTAGTAGATTTCTCAAGTCAACATAGTTGCAAAAAATAGTATTGAAAAAAAATTATTACATTTCAATTTATACTTTGAAAGGTTTCTTAAGATATTTTCCACATATTTTATCTATAAACATTTTATAAACACGTCTATTTGTTTTTTAATCTATAATATTGAAAAAATAAATTATTTATTTGAAATATCTTTTTCGTTTACGATACGAAAATTTACAACATTGTTTTTTTAGTTTTAATTTCAAACAACAAAAATTCAATGTCAAAAAACAAAAAATATTTTTTTTCGTTTGTAAAAAATATATTATTTTCGGTCTATTAAATGTGTTTAAATTGTGCAAAAAAATTATAAAATATAATGTTAAGTGATAAAAAATATTTTAAAGTGCTATTATCCTCAAATTTTCGCGAAAAAGTTTTGAAGTTTGGAGAGAGAATAAAATTTTTACACATGTGTTGGATTTACACAGCACTCGTCTGTGAGAAGAGCGTAATGTTATTGTTGTAAAAAAATGACAGCGTTTCACTTCTTGTTTATTCTTTGGTATCTACATTCAGAATAAGGTAATTTACCTTAATTTAACTATCATTTAAAAAATAAGTTTTATTCGACTGTGCTGAAATTAAATAAACATTGTGGAGTATTGAAAGTATACATTTGTATGCACTATTTGTATGGAATCATACCACTTTAAAAAATAAAAGGTTCAAATATGTACAAAATTAGCTGTGCTGTATGTATCTATGTATGTATGTATGTATGTATGTATGTATGTATGTATGTATGTATGTATGTATGTATGTATGTATGTATGTATGTATGTATGTATGTATGTATGTATGTATGTATGTATGTATGTATGTATGTATGTATGTATGTATGTATGTATGTATGTATGTATGTATGTATGTATGTATGTATGTATGTATGTATGTATGTATGTATGTATGTATGTATGTATGTATGTATGTATGTATGTATGTATGTATGTATGTATGTATGTATGTATGTATGTAGTATGTATGTATGTATGTATGTATTATATACTTGAATTTTATTGTAGTTTAAATAAAAAAGTCATTAAAGTCTAAAGTACATACATACATTCTATTAATTTATGCATATGAAATTTCATTAAAATCGAACTAACTGTTAAGATATTAAAGATTTATTATCTCACATTTATTATTTATTTTGCTTATCAAATTTTTTGCACATTTAAAAAAAGTATTGTAAAATAGAAAAATATTACGACAAATACATACCATTGAAAGAGATCCCACAACTGAAGATGTTTGTAATCCACTTCGCAGAGTACAATATCCCATGTTATGTGACGAATGAAGAGTCATACCTGATGCGTATTGTTGAGGTGGAGGTGTGTTTGTTAAAAGATTTCTAGTGGGACTACAGCTTGATTCAATTGTAGAAATTTGTTGCTTACGTCTAATGAAATCGATCTGGAAAATAGTGTATGTTGTGGTTAAATATTTGTGCAAAAGTTTAAGAATAATCAGAGCTAAGTTTATAAATACTTATGTTCTGTAACAGTGAGCAAAAATCTGAGACAACCTCTGAAAATTTCACCAAAAATTAAAATTCTTGATGCATGCAGAGATAAAAATAATAAACAAACAACAACAGCACACATAGTAGTACGGTAAATTTGTTTATAAAAACAAAGCAAAGCAAGAAACACTTTACGGATGAAACTGTGTGTTGTTATTGGTCTGAAACATGAAATTCAGCATGTATGTAGGTCTCGGAGTAAAGGCAACCTATACAAGGGAGCATTTTGGTACTTTTTCGTTCTTCAAAAGGTACTTTTTGAATTTTCTATAATATTGAACCTAGAAACATGAAATTAAGCCAGGAGTAAATGAGAACTTATAAAATGGAACCTTTTGGTACTTCTTCGTTTTTCAAAAGTTCAAAAGGCACTATTTGCATTTTCTATAATATTGAACCCAGAAACATAAAATAATGCATGTAGAGCATGTAAATGAGAACCTTTAAAAAAGGGACTTTTAGTAAGTTTTCGTTAATCAAAATGTACTTTTTTGAATTTTCTATAATATTGAACCTAGAAACCAAGGCTGGAAACCGTTTCGAAACGGTGATAAGGTAGCGGTATCGGTATTTTGACTTATTTCGGTATTGGTATTTTAGCGTTATCGGTATTTTGGGTTATTTCGGTATTGATATTTTAGCGTTATCGGTAGTGTACAAAAATATATTTTAGGGGTATTTTCGGTATGATTTAAATAACTAAAAATATGTTCATAAATGCATCAGCAAACTTTTAAATACAAGAAAATAACATTGGTATTATTGTACCATAGGTACTCGTAATTTTTTGAATCCTCATCAAATATATGGGGGGTAGGGTCCATTATATGCAGATTCTCATAATGTTTAGTAGATTGGTTTTGGCTCGTGTGAAACTTACTTATTTCGATTCAATTATGAGCCGATTCTACTAAAAGGCGATGAAAAGATGATGGCTGAAAACCTTAAAAAAATTAGAGGACTGTTCTCTGCATATCGACATTTTAAATGAAATACATACATATGTAACTAAAACTTAATTTTTTGGACTCACATATTTTTTGAAAATCTTGGTGTAGTATCGAATGAAAATTTCGAAGGATTCTACCAAGAGATATTAAAAAGGAAGAAGATACAACGGAAAATGGTCAAGCATGCTTTAGGATTTTTCTTGGTGTATGTGCGTGAAACATCAATGAATAGAAAAACAAATGCAAAGTAATAACTTATATGCACACGTCCTTATAGTAAGTTTTACTTGTTGTTGTTCTTCTTGTCAATTTTGTCCACATTTTAAAAATCTTACTTTAAAGTTCTAAAAAAAATTTTAGTTTTTTAAAACACTTTTTCGTAAAAAATAGACGTGATAAAATTTTTTGTTACCGCACCTGGATTCAGGAGACATAAACTTATCCCAATCAGCCATAAAAATTTAAAGGAGCGCCAAAAAACTTTTTTTTGCAGACCAGAGTAATCTTTCTGGATTGTGGTTTTCATTTGCACTAAGTTCTATACTTGCCTTCGCTGATTCCTTTTCTTCTTTTGTTCATATCACCGTCCGACACTCAAAATTATACACGAACCGAATGACATACGGTTCGTGTATGATATAAATTTAATGAAGAAAAACTGCGTTTTTAGTTTTTCATTTCGTGATCCTGTGTCCTTTTTAAAGTTTTAAAAAGTACATTTTGCAAAAAATATTTTAAAATCCTTCTACTGATCAAACAATGCTAAATTTGATGTCAAGCTAATAAGAGGAGTTGTAAATTATTTTGTGTTATTTTTATTTTATTCTGTCAGAATCAAAAGATGTAAAAAATGTCTTTCAACAATTTTTTGAAAAAATAATATTGAAAATTTAAATAGATTTTAAAGGATAAAAATTTTAAAAGACATTTTTGACAGATCTTTATCCTGACAGTATAAAATAAAAACAAATTAGAGTGCTATATTCGACTGAGCCGAATCTTAAATATCCTCCACCAGCTACTTTTATTTGATTGAATACTTGTGGAAATAAGTTTTCTCATATTTTTAATAGAAAAAACCAACCATTTAAATAGCTTAAATCTGTTACAATTGCAATATTTATTGAACATTACCAACACCATTTCCTTTTAAATTTTTATAGCGTCCTAAAATAAGCTTTAGCGATATTTAGTAATATTTTGTATGGATGTTGTTATATCGTAATGAGTTATGTGCGTTTAAGTGATTTTCTGAAGGGGACCTTGTATGGGAGCTATGATAACAATTTTACAGTAATATTTCTGTATGTAAAAAGAAAAAAAAAAAGAATGGATATCATCATTTGATAATGAGTACGTTTAAACGATTTTCTGAAGGGGACCTTGTATGGAAGCTATGACCAATTTTGGACCGATCCGATACGATCTCTGGATGATTTATACTGATATAAAACTTTAACTTAAAGTTATTAACAAAAAACTCATTTTCCGGGAATATGTACATTTGTATGGGAGGTATATGAAATTGTGGACCGATTTCGCCAATTCTCAACAGGAATAAAGCTCTTATATAGAAACAAATGTGTGATCATTTTTATGGAGTTATATTACACAGTTTTCGTGAAAATTACATTATAATATGTGAAAAAAGCTTAATTTTTTCGGAGTTTTATCAAATTTTGATTCATAACTTTTTCCGATATGAACCAATTTTGCTCATTTTCAACACCAAACTGCCTAGGACAAAAATAAGTATTTTGGGTGAACTTAATTTTTGTTGCTTCGTGTTAACGTGAGAATGTTTTATAAAAACAGACAAACGGACGGACAGACGGACATAGCTAGATCGACTCAGAATTTCATAAGGTCCAAGAATATATATGCTTTGTTGGGTGTCAGATGAATATTTCTGGGTGTTACACACGGAATGACAATGTTATATATACCCTCTATCACCACGGTATAAAAAATTATTTGAAGAATTTTTGAGTTATTGTAAAAAATAATAGTAATTTTAATAAAGAGTGAATCAACGAAATAAACTCATAAACAAATATAAACCTGCTACTATGTTAAATCGTGACCAGTGTTGCCAGAAAAATTTTGACTTATGTCCCCAATCTTAAGCTTGAAGTCCCCAAATAATCCCTATTTTTAAATTGAAATCCCCATAGTTTTCCCCAATTTCTTTCATGAAAAACTGACATGTTCGTCACAAGTATTCTCCATTGATAGGCACTGCACAGTGGGGTCTCCCCGAACAAATCTTGGCATTAACTAAACTACAAAGTTTTGTACAAGTGATTGGTAGCGTTAGAAAGGGGAGAGCTTCTAGATTTGAAATATTAAAAAAGAACTTTGAAGTTAGTGCAAATTTTCGCAAAAAATACACTATGTATTTTCATATTTTTTGGATCATTAGCGCTAAAAATTACTAATAATCCCAGCAAATACTTGGTAATGACTTTCAGTTGTAACCACTTACCTATTAACATAGTTTTCAATGACTATTATATATAGTCCTGTTTACATAGAAGTAGTCTAATAACGTCTTATTAATAATGTGATATATAACTACTTTTTAATTCATTTGTCATCTTCTTCGTGAAGCTATCGGAGCTGTATAAATTTGTTCATACAATTTAAATTGACTTATTTTTCTAATTACTTGTAAGCGATTGTGGTAAGTACTTGCACTAATAACAACACCATTTAGTCAAGTACAAAATCTCTGTGAATTTTTATTTAATTTTTCTTTCAAAAAAGCATATATAAAACGTATGAAAAAGTCTTTGAAATGTTTAGTGAAATCAATTTTAGTTACTCGTTAACTATTGGAGAATTATTTAAATCAATTAATTTTGTGTTAAATAATTCGATTTTTTTAAATAAAATACAAATGTTTTAATATTTTTGTTTTATGGAGTGTTAGAAAAATAAATAAAAAATGCCATAGAGGCAAAAAATATAGATGTGGTGATATTAAGAACACATTATAGTATCTTATGTATATGGTCGCCGAGGGGCCATCAGCGGCCAAATAGTACTTTTTCTCCTTTAAAAATGGCAAAAAAAAAAACATAAATATATACATATATATATGAAAAGTGGCATTTTAATAAGTAGTGGATAATTGAATCCTATTGTGTAATGGTTATTTAAAATATAATTTTTCATACAAAACAACATTATATTTGGACTTGAAAATTAAAATTTTAAGAAAATTTATAGAATGGTAGTTTTTTATATAAAAAAGGTAAAGGTATTAATTAAAAAAAAAACAATATGAAAAATTATATATAAAAAACCTAAACTTTGACGCACAACCTAAAAGCCTACAAAAGGAAAATCGAAAAACTAATTATAGCGTTATATAGAACAAAGTCTTGGCTTTTAAGATACGCTATATTTTTTGCAAAAAAATAATTTTTAAATATTGACTTTTTGCCAAGTTTACTTAAAGGAGAACCCAATGTGCACTGTTTGGTATTAAAAATGGGCAGTATCGGACTTCGATTTTTACATAGCCCTCACACATATATTAATTATGAAGCAATCGTGGTAAAATTTTACACAAGTTAGGTTTATGTACACAGAAAAAAATAATACATAGCTGGAATGAATTTTGTAATAAATAGTATGAATCGAACATGACTTTTTTTTCCCAAACCATTTTCATTCAGAATATTAAAAGTTCATAAAATGTATGAATTTCAACATAACAGAATTTTTTTGGCTTTTACTTATTTTCTATGATATTCTTAAAAAATTGCAAAAAAAGTCCATTATCTACAAATCTGTTTCCATATCTTGTAAATAGTGATCCTATATTAGCAAATTTTGTATGATAATTACATAGAAATGTTGAAAAACAAAATCTGAAATAAGAAAACATCAGCAAACATAGTTAAACATCCATTCTTCATCAAATCCCGCAAATT